AAAAAAGTTTGTAAAAAAATGTTTATAACTTGGCAATTTTGGTATCTTCTTTTTAATAGATATTCTTTTAAAGATTTTATTGCAAGATAACTTATTCGCCCTGTTTAAATTCGAAAAAGAAGAAAAAAAGGAAATAAAGTCATTCATTGATATATTATTTATTACATAATTATTAGTATTTTATTTTTTAAAATATAATTGCTTAAAATAACGCTATTTAACTAAACTAAATAGTAATAATCTTAGATGGAAATTTTACTTTTATGCGAATGAAAAAAAATCTTTGTTTGTTTATAATAACTATTTTGTATTCTAAAATTAATATATTATCCATTTTTCTATTCCTTTTTATCCTATTTTAGACGTAACAAATGAATTCTTGGCGGCACAAGCGTTTATTTTCTTTATTGCCGGTTTCGAGACTTCGTCAACAACGATTAGCAATGCTCTTTATGAATTAGCTTTGAATCCTGATATTCAGGATAAGTTACGAAAAGAAATCAAAGAATTTGAAGAAAAAAATGATGGAGATTGGAAGTACGAAACCATAAAGGAAATGGAATATTTGGAAAAAATTTTTCAAGGTGAATAGTTTTTTTAAATGTAATTTCTGACTTTCAAATCAAGATATAAATTTTATTTCTTCGTATACCTAATTATTTTCATTTACATTTCACTTTATAACAGGTGTTAATATGTTCATAAAAATTTAAAGAGTCAATGCTAAAAATGATAGTTTATGTATATTTTATGTCTTCATCTAACGAAATTAATTTTCATTCGTTTTGGTCACTAAAAATCTTCAAAGGTATTAGTGTACCACTAATGTATTAACACTTTGAACGATTATTCGTAATTTTACGCTACCTTTAATTCCTATTTTTATATTTTTTCTATATTCTATTCTACATATATATATATTTTTGTATATGCTATTCCACAGAAACTCTAAGAAAATATCCATCTTTGCCATTTTTAAACAGAGAAATAATTGATGATTATACTATCGGAAATAATAAAGTGACACTTCCAAAAGGGTTAAAAATATGGATACCGACTTACGCCATTCATAACGATCCGGATATTTATCCTGATCCAGAAAAATTTGATCCTGAAAGATTTTCAGAGGATAATATAAAACAAAGACATCCTATGCATTTTTTACCTTTTGGTCATGGACCAAGAAATTGCATTGGTATGTATAATATAGGAATTTAAAATCAAATATAATATGAGAAAAGAAATAGCAATAATACGATATTAATTAGAGTTTTGTTCCAGGTTCACGATTTGCCGTATATCAAGTAAAAATTGGATTGATAGAAATTCTTCGAAATTTCAAGCTTGATGTTTGCGATAAAACGTTAATTCCTTATAAATTTCATCCACGTGCACTACTTTTATCTCCTTTCACGGATATATATTTGAAGATAACTAGATTGACGGACTAACGATTTCTAAATTTTCTAATATTCATCAGTGCTTCATAAAAATATTCACTCTAATGATAGCAAAAATATTTTATTGCTTTAGATGATATTCTATTTTTTACATTTACAATTAGAGAATACATAATTGATTTATAGAAATAGATTTCAAAAATCAAATAAAAATCGAAGAATCAATGTCTACTTAATAATATGTATCTTTTTGTATTTTCTCAATAATATAGTAAAACAGGAACAATATTGAAAATTATCTCATGAGCATGATTAGGAATGTTTTCTAAAGATAGCACTTATGATCAATTCTTTTTATACTGTTTTAATACTGTTTCTTGTCTATTTAGTTTTGCTTTGTCAGAGATGAAAATTTCTCAATTTTTTTTTTTTTATAATATTTCTGTCTTTCTTTTCTTTTTTCTTTGTATTTTTTCTGCATACTTGTTTTTATTGTACAATTGTAAATAAAATTGGATATCAATTTCATTCCTTTCTCGAGACTACAATGTATTTTAACTTTCATTGTAAGAAATATAAAAATTATATTTTTATCTATGCAAAACAGCTATTAATAATATATCCTGATATATAATAAAAGTGTTTTAATGCAAATTATTGCTCGGAAATAGTAACTGAATTTGAAGTATATTTTCCCTTAATTCGGAAATAACAGAATTAGGAATTTTAAAATATATTATGAAAAAGTCTTCCGTCCAATTTTCTAATTGCAATTTTTCAAAACTCCAGCTACTTGTTTCACAATAGTCACTTATTTCAATAATTTATATAAATGTGTTTATGAATTAATAAAATAATATTAGGATTTGTTATGAAAACGATAAAGAAGATCTTATGTTTGAGAATATTGTTTGAGAGTATTGAATAAAATGCATTGAATATGGAATATTCTATTCAAACATATTTCATTTGCACTCGTAATGATATTTTATATTTGAAATATTATAAAAATCTATATATATATATATGATAATATTCTTCTACAATATTATATATTTAATTTATATAAAAATTATTATCTATATTTTATTAATTCAATTCGATAACCATAATGTGTATATATATAAATTTAATTAATTTAAAACAACAACAATTTAATATAAATTTAAATTGTGCAAAAATAAAATTAAATTCACAATATACGTTATTTTATCTTAATATACAACATTACACGCAATGTTTAAAAATAATTCCGTTTAAAAAAAATAAATATATTTTTTACTTTTTTAAAAAAATATAAAAATTGATCAATTTCCATATATTTAATTCTGTAACTAATTGTAACTAATAAGCTTGTTCGAAGTGATCGACTTTTAGATACAGAAATGGTCTGACATATTTAATTTGAAATTTTGAAATGTTAACAAATGTAAGATTTCGAAAAAATAACGTTTTTATAAATAATGTAAAAATGATAATTTTTCTAATCTTTGAAAATTATGAAATGACCTCCTATGATTGGACATTATGCTTTAGCGAGAAAGATAAAATCAATTATCATGTTTGAATATTTACATAAATTGGATATTTCACTAAAGAACATTATGAATAAATAATTGTCACTAATTTTATCATTAGTATCAGAGATTATTATATGCAGGATATAAATAATATTCTAAAATTTATATAATAATGTATAAGTTCAAATACATACTCTATACATATTTTACTGTACTGAGAGGTATTTTTAATAATGGATCTCTTTATACATAAAAGTAGCAAAAAATAAATCTAATTCGTTTAAATTAAATTATAAGCAATAATAACATTGGATGTGTGTACATAAGTACACATGTTCTTTATCAAATTATTCGTAACATAATTCAAAAATTATTGAAATTCAATTCATTCGATTCACCGATGAATTCACAAAATATGATACATTGTAATTATAATATGTCCATGCATTTTATCATACTATTTTAAAATCTCATTAAAGATTCAAAATCAATATTCAAATATCCCATATCTTTTCCCATATTATCGTAACATTTGAAAATTAAATGTTAAACAATTTTGATTTATTATCGTTCGAATATATAAAATACGTTCCATAATATAACATCAGTCCTAGAGCGACATTGTTTGTGAAAGAAAAGATATTTGTTGTAAACAAAAAGACAATTAAAATTTAACATACTTTTTACCAAATAAAATTTATATCAATCAACATGCAGAGTGAAAAACATTTAAAAGTTACTTTTGCAGTTGTTAAAAAAGATTACAAAAAGTAAAGTCGTAAAAATATTCTAACATTTCTTCTATATACAGTATCAAAAAAACTTATAATTAATCACGTTATTCAAAATATCGGCAATTTCGATACAACAATATTTAAGAAAATTATCTAAATTAATTAATTTGTAGAAAGTGACAAATTCATTCTTCGCATCGCATAGCATAAAATCTAAAAAATGTATAGTTTAGAAATTTTTTGTGGAATAGTAGTGGCGCTTATTGCGCTCTACTATTATTTAACGGTTAATAATAATTTTTGGAAAAATCGTGGAATACCTGGACCAAAACCCATGTTGGGATTTGGTAATATAAAAG